TGCATAACAGATGAATATGTAAAATTTATAGATGTGTTGGGATTGTTGTATTTTGTATGTTATAATTGTGACATATTATCAGAATGGAGTTTATGAAGATTGTAGTGATTTTAATAGTTGTAACTGGGTTTTTTTCCATCTTAATTGAATATCTGTTCTTACTTTTCCCTCTGTTATATTAATGGTTCATCTTTCAATTTCCAAATTGTTTTTCATCTTTATTAATTAGTACTAATAGTAATAGTTGAAGCTATAAACTTTAAATATATTGTTGACTTGTTTTATTTCTACAGATCATGTATTACTATTCAGAAAGGATTAAACGGTGATACATCTCTAACATGGTAGAATTACATTAATTTTCTTTTTTCTGAATATAAATTATATTTTCTAGTGATAATAAAGGTTTATTCAAATCTGGGAATCAAATTTCATCTAGTGAATGGTCAAAAGTTATAATTGATTTACCGCCAACAAATACAGATTATAAGGTATGGTGATTATGGGAATTTATGAGATATTTTAATTATAATGATTTTAACATCATTATTCTGTTAGCTAAAGCAATACATTCATGTGATAACTGAAGGTTATTACTAAATCACATGACCACAGATACTTTACTTAATCTTATGTTATTAAGAACCAAAAATCAACACCATGATTGTATCAACACAAAAATGTAGAGTAGACAAAAGGTTCTTTACATCATTCAGTTGTGTTTGTCTTTCTTCACTTACCAAACCCGACTTATGATGATGATAAACAACATTTGACTGAATTTGCTTTATGTACTGGAATTGTACTGCTTAAGCGCTGATTATTGCTTTTTCTTCTATAGAGCCATTTAGTTGGAGATTATTTATTAATTTATATCTCCTGCAAGGATAAGCAGATCATAAATTTTTTAATTTGCAGCTAAGATTTTTAGTTTTTTTTCATCGTTTCATTTAATCATTAACTCTTCTATTAGCTATTCATTTTACATTCCTTGATCATTAATTGTTACCTTTTGATATTTTCTCATTATTTTAGCAATTTATTTGAATATATATATATATATATATATATATATATATATATATATATATAGCTCTTTTTACAATGATTTTAAAATAAGACTGTTATGATTAAGTAAGGGACTAATATTCTCAACACTTTTATCTTTATTAAATAATACGTGCTGTCTAAAGTTAATAGGATTAAGGATTATTATCACAAATGATCAGAGCACAGTGAATAGTTCTTCTATTTCTTCATTATTTGCTCATGATTTACTTGGTAGTGTTAACTTGAAACTTCCTATTGATGTTTAGGACTGCGATTGATCAGTTTCTTATTAACATATATGCATACTGTATGTGTTGTCTCAATATTGCCTTAATTCACAAGATGGATGGTAACAGCAGTGGAATCCAGGATGCCCGTTTCGTCTTATTTGGGATTCGTCAAGTGGACGTAACTACAGAGTTGATGTGAATTAAGGTGATATCGAGACGAGATGCATATATGCCAATAAGAGACTAATCGATTGCAGTCCTAACTATCAATCGGAAGATTCGAACAAACAATACATAAACAAATTAAAACTTCCCCCCGCTGCACAAGCATATGGCTATCTGAACTTAGTAGCTAAGTGGATAAGGAGATAGCATGTGGGGCGAAAGGAAATGAGTCCACGTCCTGAAGTGAACACTAACTATGGGATGCAAGTACACCCAGTTGACGAAACCCACATCCTGAATTCCACTGCTAGTTACCATCCATCTTTACTTATATCAACTACAATGTTTTTTTCCTGAAGTTTTATCCAAACATTTATTGTTAAAGCTAATGATATCACTTGGTTCTTCATATCTCAAAATAGTTTGATTACGTTTTCATATTCTCGGTTACTAGTGTTTGAAGTTTTTCTAATGATATTTTCAGGATACTATCTCTATTTCATAATGTAAATTATCTCTTAGTTATGTTGTTATTTGTTCATTTGTTTATCATTCTATTATTGCCTACTCGATTAACTGGGAAATAAATTGTAAGAGGTAGTTTTTTCCCGATAGCAGTTTTAAATCAAATTCCCTATCGTCTATATCTGATTTAGCTAAGTCGTTTTTCTTCTAAATAATTTATAAAACAATTGTTCTTCTGAAGTTTTTTTATGTGTTTGTATAGAGAGACAAAAGTGTCAGATACGTTTGTTGTATTGTTGAGTGAAAGTATATTGAAGTAGAGTGTATGATTGATGTGTTTAATTTTTCGCTTTCTCTTTTCACTACTGACTGTTTCAACTCGTTAAACAAGCAATAGGTCTATGTATTGCATATTAATTAAATAGTAATTATTTGCACAATTTCTTCACACTTTTTCTAATAAATCTTATTATGTATATATAGATCTTGTAAACCATCCCTTGATCCAGAGACTAGACAATTCGGTGTATTTTGGTATGTTTCTTGTGTATTTGTATATAAATATATATATCATATATGTGTCTAGTGGCAACGCGAAATTATGGAGTTCATCTAATGACAAACAATTTATTCACACAACAACAAAATGGCTTACAGTTGTAGTGAATTTAAATTCAACTGATCAAGATTTCAAGGTAGAGTGGTTTAATGACTCATAGTTAGTTAAATTCCATTCTTTTCCCATCTACTTTTCTCTCTTCTTAATTTATTTTGTTGGTTCCTCAACTCCAGTTTTTCATTGGCTTCTTAGTTTTCTTTTCTTTATCCTAATAGTCATTTCTCGTAATATCATAATTGTTTTTATCATAAATTAAAAGTGTTGTTTGTTTATTTGTGTTATGCTAAGAAAAACTAAGTTTATATCAATTGGTTTACATATTAAGTCGTTTAAAGTGGTTCAAAAATCTCCTTCCTGAGTAATTAATTTTTCTTTTTCAATGCCAATGAAGAGTGCAGTACAATAATTTGAGCATAGTTTAAACTAAAAAATTTTTTTAATGCTTACATGATATTTGCACAAGTATTTTTATGTTTATCCCTCATTTCTAATTCGTACTTAATATTTAAAGTAGTCCTTATAGCTTTTTTTTCTGGTTTGGAATTATGACTTAATTATTGAAACACTCAAATATATGACATTTGAACCTCATCACACAAAATCTGGTTTGGTTAGCTAAATAGTATTGTTTACTGTCACATATAAAGTGTAGTTTCTCAAGTTGGGACTGAAATGAATCATTATTATTAGTAGTAGTATTATCACTATTATTATTATTATTATTATTATTATTATTATTATTATCATCACTATTATTATAATTATTACCATTATTATTATTATTAGGACCATTACTATTATTATTACCATTGTAATTGTTATTACTAATATTATTGATTATTATTATTGTGGGAATTTATTACACTTTTAGAGTTAGTGACTAAGGTTTATGAGCTCCTTTTAACACAAATACGGAATTTCATATACATAAACGATATTACCAGTCATTTATTTATTTATTGATTTTAACAAATATATATTGGTACAAGGAGGCACCAAATACATATGCGCCACTCAAATCTCATTCGATATGTGTGAGGGCTGTGATAATACCCGGGTGCCCAAACCGAAGCAGGTGGTTTTCTTAGGGGGCCACTCCCCGAGCCTTCGACCTGAAGGTCTGATCCACAAGGCAGTGGTGCATCGTAAGGAGATGCAGTTCCGTGGAAGCCGGTGACCGAAAATTGGTTCATATGCCATTTGTTCCTCCAGGATACTGGAGCCCTTGTGCACCATTGATTTAGTTTGGGGTCCGGTTAAAGCGCCGTCATTGAAAAGCTGATTTATTTTTGTCAGTAGTATTGAAAAATTGTTTCATACGTAAATAAAAAGGCAATTTCTAGAAAATAAAATTTACCAGTATGAAATAAGTCATTATCCTGTTATTCATTTTCATCATTTTGCATAGTGTTGATTTTCGTTAATTCTTACTACAACATATAATCTGTAACGTAGTGGGTCACCTACGTTTAGTCGCATAGATTATTATCTTACTTATTTTACTATTGAGTGATCACTAAATAATGTCCGATCTGATGTTTGTCTAGTCGTTCAATGATAATCGAATTATGTCGGTCAAGTTACGATTTTATCGCACGTCAGATTAACTCGATATCTCTTTCGCAATGTTAAGATATTAGTTAATTGAAAATCGTCATCAAAGAATCCTTAGACTAAGTTTCTTGCTCTCTACCACTCTTCATTAAGGCACAAAGTTTCACAAATGATTCACAATAGTTTGGCTCCAACAGACGGTATCAGTTTTATCAATATCGCGGATACGTCTTGAAGACAGATGCCAACTTACACAAAACCCTGGTTCAAAATTACTTTTTGGATCACCTCCAACCACCTGATTTATAAACCGTTAACCACTGGTTCCAAACATATCAGTAGTCTGATATAATTTACAATATGTTTGGCTTATGTTTAGAAAAATACTAATTAAATTTCACTTTATAGTCATCCAGTATTAGGATGATTCATAAGTTTCCACATAGATCTTGTATCATTAAACATTTTAGTGCCTAAAAAAATGACTTTCCGAATCCACTTGTTCATATCGAGTTCTTTTTCGAGTAACTTACCTATTATTATTTTGTCCAATATGTGAACGAACTTGGCAGTATATATAACACATAGTACCTAAGTTCAAACACCAACCAATACACTATACCTAATATAAATACCTCCCTTCTGAAGTAAAAGCAATATGTTAGGACATTTAAAAGTATATAAATATATTATTACACTTACATTAAGGCTTAGTTTATTCCAAATGGTTATATAAAACAACAAAAATAATCATCCTATGCTTGTATCAAGTCAGTTGACAATCGAAACTATTCTCAGTCTCATTATCGATAGAAAAAGTGCCCAAATGTTTGCTATAGTTTCTACACCTCACTAACAATCTGTATCATATATATATCTTTAAAAATATTTTTCCTTGCATTTTTTCTACCTTGCAGCTGATATTAGAAGGTACAATTCCTGCTGGCTATCCAGATGCTAGAATCTGTGTCGATAATATTACTTCCTATACTGAACCATGTAGTGGTAGGTTATATAAAGTAAAATCATTTTGAATGATAACTTTTTTCATTAGAGCATAGTATATTCATGTTGTTACTTTTTTTCACGGAACTATACTATGTCGTCTGTAGTTCATTTCTGTAAAAATAAATAAAATCTTCATTGAATATAATATAGTCATATATATGTAGCAGTTCATTTAACCTTTCTCTCTTTGTATTCGTGTGTGAAACACATGGTTCTAACCACTAAGTCGTAGACCTAAACTTTACTCCACATCCTACTTCTGTTGAATAGTATCACCAACCTGTACAAAAAATGTCACTATCTAAGCTGAATACATGAAACTTATTTACAATTAGTGAACTACGTCGAAAATTTAGAAATTTGTAAATCATTTTCTCTAAAAGACTTTTTCGTTTCACTATTAAACTGTATAATGTATTGTATACTACTCATTTTTTTCGAACTGTAGTAGAATCACTTTTTAAAAAGTCACTTTTCACAAACAGCTTTGCTAATATACCTGGAAATATTACCTTATTTATTCTAAATAGCGGGTTTCTCCATAGGTTTTATTATCACGGAAGTGATTTAGGTGTTTTGTGATCACCACAAAATAGTGGATTCAACATTAGTGCCTAATAACGGTCATAGATACAGCATAACTGTAGCTTTTAAAAATTTCCTACTGCTTTATACACTTCAAGCTTATTCTATTGCTAAATTTAAAAACAATAGCTTATATTTAAAATCCTTACTAACTGATTCAGTACAAGGTTGTTTATGTTATCATGACTAGATGTAAGTAGCCGTTAAGGTCGACATTAAGTAACGTTTAGCTTGAAATCATTCTTTTTTGGAAATGAATCAGATCATTAGTGTACTACTGTATCAATTTTCTCCCATCTATCTAATAAAGCAAAATCTTTAGTATTATGAATATGTCATAAAATGTTTTTTATACCCCTACTTTTCTCGTGTAAATAGCTCTGGAGAAAGCATCTGCACCATTGCCAAGTCAATGGAGTTGGGCACAATACTTTGGATTGACATTTGTTGGTGCTTTAATCTTAGGTTTATTAATACCAGTGTTGTTTTTGGTTATTCTGATTTGGGCCTGTCGTCGCCGTCATCATGCTATGCACTCGAACTATACGAATAGTAAATTATTTTCAACAAATCTATGGTATTACATCGGTGGCAAAGAAATATGTGATGATCCAAATGGTTTTCGCGGTAGTTCAAGTTTGTTACGTTCAAAACAATTTAATTCACCGTCAGCAACTGGTACTTTATTGAATGGTGGTGGTGGACATCATCTAATGTTAAGTAATGCTGATGTAATGGATTTACCTGATGTAGTTGTACCAGGTGGACGTGTAGTAGCCTTTAACTATTCTGGAAATACTTTAGGCGGTAACACACTTCGTCATAATCATAATAATGCTGGATATACAAACACAAATTATCTATCAAATGCACAAAATGGTCAGGTTATGCTAACAAATGTTAATGGGACAGTTTCATTGAATAATTGTGGTACAAATGTTACTACTGTTGCACGTACTGGTCAAAATGCAATGCCGTTAGTATCAAATGAACTTATTCAACAACAGTCACAAAGTCAACAACAAAATGAAAGTTATAATTACCAAACTAATCCAGTTTTCGGGGGTATGTTGTGCTTACGAAGAAAAACGGATTGGTTTTCTTATTTTTTGTTGATTAATTGCCAATTAAAATTGTAAACTCTTTTGGAGTATTCTTCATAACGTTTAAGGTCATATAAGGAATTCTACTTTCAGGTTATTCTTCCACATATTCCTGTTCGGTTCATATTGATCACTGATTAACTGATCACAACCTTAATCCCAATATAACATAGTGGTTAATTAGAGTCTATCGGAAACCCTGGATTTAGGTTGCGTGTTGTTTGGCACTCATCAGCAGGGTGCACATGTGATCTTGAAGGAAGTAATATCTTCTGGCGGATCCGATCTTCTGTCACCCATCTCCACAGTGCGTGAAGCTATCACTGAGCTATCCGGATTGTGACTGACCTCTTGTAGAACTGAATTGTATTTACAGTTGAATGGTCGCTTAATAAAAATCATTGTCATTTATATCAAGTTCTTCTTAGAACGAATGTGACTGTCACACTCGAACGAAGAATAAATGAACGGGAACTTTTAGGGATTATTTATGGACTATTATAATGTATATTCCTATTGGATAAGTAATTAGTAAATAGGTTATATATATATATATATATATATATATATATATATATATATATATATATATATATATATATATATATATATATATATATATATATATATATATATATTCCACGTGCCTGAAATATACGTTTCATACAGCGGAGGTTGATATTTGTGTTCTTGATCCAACAGGAAGGTCTAGATAAGAAGTTAATATTTTGAGGGCTAATACGGATTCAGAGTTGTTTCGAGGCTTCCAGTGCTGGTTGACGTGTCATTGGTCTAGCACAGGTACAAGGTCATACAAGTTGGCATTCGAATTGACCATTTGCCACGTGATAATTGACAGGGGTAAAAGTGATAACAGCGACCAGCACCAAGAAGGACTTGATATTCATGTCACTGATCGCTACGCAGTGATTGGTCAGTCATGAAAATTATCCTAGTAATTTTCCGTGAAGTTTCCTTTTTGATAGTTATGATAACTATTTCACTTGTATCCTGTTTTTCTCTACTTATAATTATTATTCAGAATCTGCCTCTATGGCACTGATGACAGCTAGTCAATCTCCAATGCTGATGACACAATCTATGGCACCAAATTATGGTTCTGAAGCAAATCACATTGCTCAGTCAAATTTTTCCAATGTAAGTAAAAAAAATTGTTTTGAACTGAGAAGATTATTTAAAGCTTTCATGGAAGATTTCAGTGATGTTGTATTTTTTTTCGAGGTAAATGGTTTAGATCATAAAAAGACTTAAAGTGAAGACATTAAAAAATAATTTGAACCATGAACACAATCAGTGTTAGTTTTTAAAATACTTATGATGTTGAAGTTGCAATATATATATACCACTAAATAATTTGATGAGCGAGTTTTTAAACTTAACCTGTGAAATCATCTTAGTTATATTTGAGGTAATTACTCACTGATAACAATTGGTAAGGGTTGAATTGCACAAATCACTCGAAGTTAGAAATGAAGACAACTATACTTCAGCACGAAGTTACGATAGCATAGTTGTGTTGTGCATCGTTCTTTTTGTTGATTTCCAAGCTAATGTCAATTTCCAAACAAAATTATCAGTCAATACTTTTGTTAATTTCTATAAATTATTTTATTTGATCCTGTTAAGTTTAAAAAGTTATATGATTTAAAAATCCTCTTTTGTCTATTAAGTTATGAGCATACAATACGTTCCTTCTGATAAGCCTTATCTTTATTCCGATAAATGAATTACTTGTTCATAAGATCAGTATTAATCCAGTAGATAAATACAAGTATATTAATTGTTAAGTCATGACTCGTGTGTAAATATCATTTGTTTTCTTGGTTAAATTATGAAGATAATGTATAAAATCCATTATAAAAATACATTAAAGTCGTAGTTAAACCTTTCTACTAATTAGAAGCAAAGATAGATGGCAACTGCTAGTGGAATCCAGGATGTGGATTTAGTCGTATTTTGAACTCGTCAACTGGGTTTACCTGCATCCCACTGTTTGTATTCGCTCCGGGACTTAAACTATGAGGTTAAAATCGCTTTTTATTTTTCTTTCTACGAACTAATTCTTTCTTCCTGTACTATTGTAGTGAACAAGAACACGGGTGCGGACAATCGAATGTATTTAACACAAAATTACAGGACTTGTTAATAAAATCTAACAATCATAAAGTAGATGCTTAATTTGCAAAATGTCCACCAATTGTCTCATAATGATTCAGACTTCATTGTTCTTGCATTTTCACACAAATTTCATCCTGTTTCCATTCTTTACTGTTCGATCCTCTTGTCTCTCTGCTACCAAACCTTCTTTTCACGACTAACATCATATACTACTTATGTCAATATAAGTAGCACACACCACACTATGTCCTTATATACAATCTTTTATATATTACCACCACCGAATTAACCACTTCTATGAATCCGATGTTCATCGTATTGTACTAATGAGGTATGGCAATTTGGACCTATGCGCATATGTGCCTGGTCCTATGTTGTAGCTGACTGACTGGGACTTGGACTCATTTCCTTTCGCTCCACCCTCCATCATGTTACTCACTTAGCTACTGAGTCTAAATAGCCACATGCTTGTGCAATGGAGTGAAGTTTTAATTTATTTATGTATTGTTTGTCCGAATCTTCTGATTGATATTTAGGACTGCAATCGATTAGTCTCTTATTGGCATATGTGTATCTTGTGCATATTATCTCTATATTGCATTATTCTCAAAGTAAACATCTCTTGGATGCAGGTAGTATCGAAACAATCCTCACAGGATGCACATATGCCAATAAGAGACTCATCAATTGCCGTCCTAATCTTCAATAGAAAGATTGAAACAGACAACACCACTTTCTAATAATTGCTTACAATCAGTGAACTATTAGTAAAATATTCTGTAGATTTTTAACAACTAAAAACTTATTATCCACTTATTTGTCTTTGAATTTTTTCATATACTCTAGGCTAATACTCAACAAATAAACCAATTAAATTCAAATGGTCAAGTATACAACAAACCAGCAGTACCACCAGGACAACAACAACACCATCAACCACGTGTACAGTCGCAATATTTTCCCCCGACCCAACAATCTCAAACGAATTTGATCCAACCACAACCACAAATATCTCAATCATTTCAACAACAACAACAGCAACCGTCCAACTTTCAATTTCAGAACCAACTTCAACAGCAACAACAACAACAGTTAGTAGCTAACCAAACACCTGTTTCTAATCAGTTTCATCCACAGCAACAACAGTCTGTACAACAATCACAACAACAACAGTTTCCTCTTCCACCACCACCCCCAACATGTCAATTGCAACAAATGAATCTTCAACAGGCTGCAAATTTACCATCACAAACACAACAACAAAATCAACCTGTTCCTTTTAATCAACAACCAGTTAATCATCAGTATCCATTTCAGTCACAACCATCACAAGTACAACAACCAGTACCGACTGATCAACGAAGACAACAAGTAGTGAATGGACAAATACAAACATCTGTTGCCGTTGTTACTGCACAAACTGCTCCCATTCCACTTGGTTCATCGCAACAAAATTGTCAACCTCTACAACAACACTCTAACACTAATACTACAAATTCTGGTAATAATAATAATTTGAATAATGGGAATGCATTAATTACAATACCAAATAATCGTTGTTTATCTATGTCACCAACGTCCATTGGAACTGATTCACTTACTGAAGCTGATCAACAAGCTGCTATGGCTTTGTTAGCTGCTGCCACAGAAGGTATGGATACATTTCGAGAAAATCAAACAACACCGAGTAGTTTACAGTCTCCAGTTCCAATAGTCAATAATAACAATAGGAGATTAGATTCATGCATTAATACTACTACTGCTACAAATACTACCACTAATAATGATATTAACACTCAAGTACCAGTTGATGAAGACAATCCACCACCAGGATATGATGAAGCTATTGGTTTGATACAAAACAATTTCATGAATAATGTTAACATGGCAATGATGATGAATACAATGGTGAAACCAGCTGTTCCTATACCAAACACAACTTGTACACCACCACCAGCATTACCACCACGTCGAATTATTAACGGAGTTGGTTTAGAAGATATTGAAGATCCACAATCAATGACATCGTGTATATCGTTAGCTGAACGTTATGGTCTACCGGTAGCTGAAATTTAAAATAGACAGAACGGAGGTTTTAAATGATGGATATTGTTGAACTGTTTAGGAAATTATTACATCATTGAATGTGTAACCGTCATACGGTTTTTGTTTTGCGTAATTTTTCATCTCATCCGTTTAATGTTGTTGTTTTTCTTCTTCTCGCTTACTCATCTTGATTAGTGCTTGTTGTTCTCATTATTGTTGTTGTCCCCATCATTATTATTTATTGTTATTGTATGCTTTTCGTATCTGCATGTTTTCATGTGTACTTGTGTCTATTCTTGACATTTCATCTCATCAATTTTTTTTATTTATCTTACTCATTGCTTTGCTTATATAATGATTTTACGTTTCATTGTAGCTGTGTTTACTTATTTTAATCATAATATTGATATTTATACACATACAATGATTTTACAAGTATTACATTTTAAATAGTAGCATTCTCTTGTCATTACAACTTATGCAACTGTTATGCTTAAATTTAGGTTTTTAATTGTTTTATACCCTGATTAATCCATTTACTGTTTACTGATAGCTAATATAGTATAATTGTTTGTCATTATTTCACTGTCATCCACACACACACACGTACACAGTAATTGAAGTTACGCTATTCATGTTCTCATATTTTATGATGAGAAAGTTAGGTAATAAAACTAAAGCATTTTAATCTTCTAGGCAATCATAACGAAGAACATCAGTTGCATATACATTTATTTTGTGTGTATGACGGTATATGTTTCAATGCTATCTAGCTGTTAGTAATTATCAACTACATTATTCATCAGCAATCACCACTAAAATATTTTAAATTATGACAGTCATTCTCATCTTGATTTTAAATTCTTTATTGTCTTAGTCTACTAATATTTGCTTCGTTCGTTTTCACTGCTGTTTTACTTCACTCATTGTTAGTTATTTGTGTTTATTTTTTCTTCTGTGCAATTTTACCAAACCTTTTTTTCTTGTAATTCTTGTCCTCTCGTTTGTTTTGATTTATCCTTTATTGTTTTGTGAAGGTATTTTATTGATTACACCGAACTCTATCAGGATTTCTCACTTCTCTCTATTCATCCTACCTTCAGAGATATCATAGAATGAGCGTGAAATTTGTTTTTGACCAGTAGTAAGAGAAAACTTTATACGCTGATTATTTGAGGGTACTTCTGGTTGAGCTTTCTTTTTACTTTTCAACATTAACTAACAATTGCAATATGTATATCTTATGATTCGTTTGATTTAAACGTGCAACGTAGTTGTTGATCTTTATTAATGGCTACCGGATTATCGGTTCGTTTATTTCCCTGATATTTTATCTCGAATTTTAATCATATTTGTATTATCATAACGTTTTCATGTTGTCTGTCATTTTGGTCACTTATTCAATGAATAATCAGTGTATTGTCATTTTTCCATGCTTACTTCCTTTGCTTCAATAAATAAATGTTCATTATGACCATTGCTTCTTAAATATTTGTGACTGTGATTTAACTACTTTATATCTATTTAAGTAGTCAATTATTCTACCATATGTTTACGAATGGACGGTATGACTTATAATTTTAAAAACAGTAAACCGTCATAGTTGACAGTCAAAAAATCTAATGACTTTTTAACCCGTTCTGTCCTAGATTAACCAGTTTATATTAAGTTTACTACAATAATAAAACTGAGTGATATATATGTTTCAATATAGAGATAGTAATTGGCTGAAACTTAACCCGGGATTTCTAAATTCTAACATGGAAATTATTAAACAATCACTTGAAAGTGTTCCTCAATGTTCAATCGAGTCATTATTAATTATTCTTATTTATCTTCAGAGATATTTCGAAATTGTTGGACGAACAATATGATATAGAGCTGCGATAACATTGTAAATTTGTCTAATCAGATTTCCTCTTTCGACATACAAACATTACTGAGTTTTATTAGTTTTTTTTTGTGCTGAAATTTACTTATCAGTCGGTAATTTCGTGCTTGAATATCATCTACTTATATAATGTTCGAAAATGAGAGATATCTCCAGAGAGAGCTCATTATTTTTGGCATCCATTCGTATTCGTTAATACGTTCGTCAAACCTTGTTTATTTAGAACATAAACTAGAATATTCAAAAGTAAATGCTTTCATTTATCCATATTTAAATCCTAAGTATGAACAGAGGCTCCAATGAATAATATCATACTCTACTAATAGTTCGGTGGCTATTATGGCTTTACTCGTACACTTTATTACTCTTTGGATTTTTAAATAATGAACTTCGTCTTGAGTTTCAAATAAGCATATCAACGCTTGGATCTAAGCTAGCCAGTCACAGCGCGAAATTTCTTCCGGTGATAGATCCATATATCTTATACAATTTTCATGTTTAATGAAACGATTATTTTATTCTTAAAATATCATAGTAGTTGTCTAATTGATCAGTATTCTCTTTTACAATGTTTAAGTGAGCACGCATCATAGGAAATCGCAATATCATAGAACTATACTTGTTTAATTGCCTGTTAAATCTTATTATAGATCTTTTCTGTGAAATAAGTTAGTATGTTACTTTTTATTATTTCACCTTCTGCTTTGAATGAACATCTGAAAACTACATTTAGGAAGTTTTGTACATTAAACCTGCTTCATTCTTCCTGCATATCTAAAGCAGTTGCATGTACAGATATGTTACGTTATATCGAGCTCTTCGTGCTGACTATATTCTATTTATTCGAATTCCACTGAAGTTACTCGATATATCGTTTCATATGATTGAAGATAACTGATATTTGCTTAGAGTTTTCATTAAATTATATGTACAACTTGAGTGGCACATTCTCCTTAGAAACTATGAACTTGCGTCATTAGTGATCGTATTCTGTTTATTACTTTTTCTATTCTGACGACGAAGAATGACTCCAATTACTCCGTAGTGAAATATTAGTTGAGTTGGATTTTTTCAAGGAAGACCAGCTAATAATTGGACAAGTAAATTCTCTAAATTGCCCAATCTTTTACACAAGTTGAAATTTACGAAAGCGTATTAATTTTACAATTGATTGATCACTGGGTGGTGATCAATGTCTTGCTTGTCTAGTCCTTATTAGTGCAGATCGAATGCTATCGATCATGTTGCAATGTGGCCACCAGTCTAGGTGACTCGACACTGCGGGCACTATGTATTGAGATTTAGATGGTGGTTGGAGGTATTAATTTTGATTGACATTGCAGACATGTATTGCTAAAAACGGATATAAGTCTACAAAATAGGCTCAAATCTTCGAATGAGCAACCTACACTCGTACATTGATTTATGCTGATGTTCTTGAACGTCTCATTTGTTTAAAATACGTTGCTCATAGTTCGTATACTGATTTTTTTTAATTAAAAAAACAGATCCCTAACGCTTTACACAAGCATAAATTTTCTTTGGGTTTTGTGCTTCTAATGTTACTCGATGAATTTCTTGCAGAAATGGAACTAGGTGAAAACCATTTATAATAACTGTAAAAAGGGAAATGTACATCTTCAATTTCTTAGAATATAACGATTTAAGCATATAACAGTAAATATGTACAAAGTATTTTGTTAGTCGCATGTTATTTCAAATGGCATACATTCACTAGATTTTTATACAATTGGTTGGAATGTGGATCCTCAACAGATTTTTCGTTTAAACTTGGACATCATTTAGTTATATGAATAAAGCAGAGTCCTTTTTTTAATAAACACTTTTTTCGTCAACAGTATTTCAAAATTCATCTAAGCAGTTGGATTAGCATTCAAAATCTGAAAACACTCAGCAATCGTCTATTTTTTAGTTAAAATTTCAGTGCAGTTGCATTCTCTTAGTTGGATAGCCTTATCGTGAAACCCTCATTCTGAACTTTCCCTAAAAAGGAAACTCCACTAAAATCATCCACTCAAGTTTCAAATCTTCACCATTATAAGATGAGCTTTATATTTAGCAAGGTTAAGTGAATTCGAACTGGAAACCTCGAAGTTCTAAAATGAGTCACTCAAACAGAGTTCATTTTTTATAAATCTACTTTTTACATTTTATATAGTAGAGGTTACTCAAATTAAAATGAAGGTAACCTAATATTTTACTGTTTTTATATGCTTCTGATATCCACTATAGTAAGTCAGTCATAAGAGCATAGATGGTCTGAAACACAAAATGACATGTATCAAGTTGACATCCTTAAAATTTACTTGCCTATATCATAATTTTGCATGGAATTTATCCTTTTATCTTGTAGTGTTAGACAAGCCCACATAGCTTATTCTGGCTTCCGGACAGACCAGTTTGTTCATTCTGCTTGAATCACATTTTACCTTGTTAATTATTTACTTATCAACTCTGACCGTTTTTATATGAACGTATATGTGTGTACATCTTATCCTACTCATCACATCCCCATAGTTTATTTTTGTGTGACTAAATACCGCTTAAAGCTTGATTAAATTGAGTTGGCTCACACGTCTTCTCCACTGTACATCATTCCGCTTCACCCCTCTGATTGTCTATACAAAATGTACGTATTCAAATTTATATTCTCGTATTTAACCTATTCAATTCCGTTATTCACTAATGCAATTTAAGTTGATAATTGCATACAAGAATAGTCAGGATGTATATTTCGACAATAATCATTCAATAATTGATCATTTGTTCAATCTAACTGGAGTCAGATTCAGGATCACTAAGATCTGTATGTCAGTGTGTCTACATTGTTATTGAACGACTAATTCCATCAGTTTCATTAATTAAATGTTCACTACTCAAAACGTTTCTGTTTTATATCTTTTAAAAAAATGATAACATTACGATTCTTTTTTAAATCCGATTTCCCTCACTTTTTTTCTTTGTTTTTTCTTTATATTTTATTTTACAGATATGTATTACGAAATAGATTTAAATTCATTAAAGGATAATGATAAAAATTGTTCTAGCAGAAAACAAATTCAACGAGAAAAATGTTTATATTCTTTAGATAATTTACATTATATTTATGCACGTTTATGTATTATTGATTTTGATGGTGTATTGAATGCCATGAATAAACAACAAATGATTATGTCACTTACATCAATTGAATTATGTTTTACTATTCGACATGCTATTGATATAACAATTAAAGATTTATTTGGTGAATTTTCTGGTTTACCAATATTACATTATGATTTATTATTTTGTCATTCAGATATGAATGATAATAATGATGTTAATCATCATCAACATCAGTTAACTAATTCAACAAATGCTCCTAGCCTATCTTGGTCTATTCTACTCGCTGTACCATATAATAATGTGGAGAAAATAATAGCAGCATTAAGTTTCATGACAAATGAATTAGGCGGTTTAGAATTAATTAATAAATTATTTGAACCTATGCATTTAAATAATAATTCATTTAAATTCTATGTAGATGTTATATCTGTATCTGATTCATTATTCAAGTTACCATGTATTCCTATGTATAAATCGTAAAAATTTTTTTAATATTATGATTAGTTTTGTTTTCCCATTTTGATAAATATGGTTTATTTAATTCTTTTCAAGGGGGGGGGAGAGTATAAATTTTTTATTTTCCTTGAAAAAGCTTGGACCAGATTGCCAGGCTAAACGTTGGATTTATTTATTTTAACACATAGATATCGGTACAAGAAGGCATCAAATACATATGCGCCACACAAGTCTCATTCGATATGTGTGAAGGCTGTGATACTACCCGGGTGCCTAAACCGAAGCAGGTGGTTTTCTTAGGGGGTCACTCTCCGAGCCTCCACAAGACAGTGGAGCATCGTAAGGAAATGCAGTCACATGGAAGCCGGTGACCGAAAATTGGTTCATATGCCGTTTGTTCCCGCTGGATACTGGAGCCCATGTGCATCATTGATTTGTTTGGAATCCGGTTAAAACGCAGGACATTCGCTTTTCGTCCTCTCAATTTCGTAAACAACATATCCGTCACGAGAAGGCAGTGAGTAGGACTTCTCTGGCAGAGGCTATATATGCGTGGCCATGTGAGAGCATTTCGAGAGAGAGAGCGGACTCTCCGCACTCTCGGCCGTACCAAGGCATTTGGGGGCAAACGTTGGATTTACTTCAAATTCATTCTATGAGATTGTAAAAATACTGTGAAGCTATTCGATCAAATTTAGACGAAAGTTCTTATTCATGGTTTAACATCTGCTTATGTCCACTAATGTCTTAATCTACTGAGTTGTGAAATTTCGAAGATCCTATCTAGTAATTTATGATGAGCTTAATACCATGTCAGTATAACTACTCTTTTTATATCTTACACTTGTCGTTTATTGGATTATGGTGTTTGTAAATGTACACAATAAAAGTAGATCAAAATATGGACTTATTATCGTGTGAACAATAAAAAAATATTAATCAAAACGAATAGATCAAAATTTACTCGTATTGTGATTATTAAATGTCAAGAAAGACGTCAATGTATTCAGATGGGAATATTGTTAAACTGATATATGTAATTCATCATATGTTTGTTCTACTATTTTATCATACTTTTCTCAAGTACTGATTGTATGGCTATAATATTCATATTTACTGTTAAGACTATTGTAAATATTTTTTTTGAGCAGGGTCCATACAGGTAGTTTCGACACTAATGAAATTGTTAATAAGTATAATACGATGATTGATTTGAAAAGTACATACACAATCATCCTCTCACTCTTTTCATTTCATTGTATCGTGTACATGCAGAAATATCGATGAACCTAGAGTAATATATCTTATGTTATCCTATGGTATTCAGCATTTCGAGAAGAAATATTACAGTTGATCCTTACCATTTACCACTCTTCTGACAAAAAACACTTCGATTTATCTTAATGAATTTCTTGTGATTATTGAGTTGTCTAGCTGAAGTAACAGTTTCGTGTAACCAAACTTATCGAAGATCGTACTGTAGTCTATATAAATTACACACACATAGTTCCCTTTATTATCTTAAAGAGAGCAAGAACGAAGATTGATGCAAAATAATATGAATTCATTTTATTTCTTTAGGTTCTCATCAGCTGCTTACAACCTATGATATTTTAAAATCAATGTTATTACAGATATTGACATACTTATACATATGTGGATAATTAAAGATGAATACGTGTATCATGCTTTAGTAAAGATTTCGATAGAGTTAATGAGGTCATAAAAATTACGTTTCGGGTAAATAAAGTTCGGAAGAGAAAGTTCCAGAACATTGAAATAGAACTCATGAAGTTAATAAACATTACATGATTGTATAATTAAGTAACTGAAAATAGATTAATGGTAATAAAGAAAGATATGAATTTAAATCAGTCAGTTATGAATTGAAGAAAAATGACAATGATGTAATTTAAACTTCAGAAAGGATTGGAATAATAAATGACGTAATAAATAAAAGGGGTAAATGATGACTTATCACTACCTCTTTTTGGATACAAAGATCTGACTTTAGACGTTCGATCTCTATCACATCGATAAATTACAAAAGATTGTAGTTTGACTGTTTGTTAATCACTTTGAAATACTTCAGTGTATTGACTTCGTGTTCTGTGTCAAGGAGGTATCTTGCAATTGCACTGCTGAATGTTTTTGATCCATTTGACCCTAAACTTTTCGGAATGTGTACTTTAAATCAAACATAGGTTTTCCTTTCTGTTCAGCCAATGTAACTGCATTGGCAGATACATTGTAAATTTGCATGCACATTTGGTGGTTACATGGAAGGGATAACTATCAAACTTTGATTGTGTTAAAGAACATGTTGTTTTGAACAGGACAATCAATTTAGGTGCAGGATAAGTTCTTGTCAATGCAGTGTAAGTCTCATATCGATTGATCCTGTGATATAATTACCTTTGAATTTAAGTTGAATAAAAATAAGTTATTTTGTAGGTTTTCGTCAGCTGCTTACAACCTGTGGTAATTAAAAGATAATAATTATATAATGGGTTTAAATTGCTTACATGAGAGGGTTTATATTGAAGAAATATTCGTAAAGTATGACATGGGTGTAAATGAAATTAATAGGCTGAATATTGTAAATATATACCTAATGTGAAAGAATATTCTAGAGCATTAATCGTGACAGCAGTTCAAAAGGGTTAGAAACAATTGATTACATAATGAATAAACATTGATAGGAATATAGTGAGTAGAGTTCAGTTGAAAGATTATTAATTTGAAAGATAGTTGAAGAAATACAATCAATGACGTAATAAATAAAAAAGATTAAAATAAAAATTTTAAGGTGCAGCGGAAGAATATTTGTTACCAAGGCAGGGAAAGATTATCAATCATCTCCTTTTGAACACAAATCAGGTTTTTGGCGCCTGATAACAACTGCTTCAGCAAGCTTCAGAAGACTGGAGTTTGGCTGCTTACTAATCACCTTGAATGATTGTAGGGTGTCAACCTGATGGCCTGTTTCAAGGAGATGTTTAGTGATTGCACTACTTAGAGTCTTTCTTTCTCTTATTCTGAGGCTCTTTGGAACATGTTCAAAAAATCTGAGATATGCCTTCCTTTCTATTCGGCCAATGTAGCTGCTTTGGCAGGTACATGTGAATTTATAAATGCAATTGGCGGTAACATGTAAAGGATGCTTATCAACCTTTGATTGAGTTATTAAACATGTTTTATACAGAATTTAAAGTTTGGCCGCCGGATAGGTTCTGGCTAGCTCAGTATTAAGTCTTCTGTTGATTGTGTTAGCAACATCATCACTTTTGAGTTTAAGGCTTCCCATTGCTACGCCGTCGATCTGACGATATATGGTGTTATTAAACTGGAATTAAACGTCTGTTGTGCATAGTAATAGTAGTTTTTTGAATTCTGGAGCTGGTAAAGGTAGGAGATCATCATTCTGACAAATTATATCAATAGTTTCAAGAAGTGGTATATTGGTGAACACGGATGTGACATCAAAAGGAACCATGAACTTATCGGCAACATTCGTACGATTTAGTCTATCACCAATCTGGAATGAATCTTTTAACGTATATTTTGCTAATCTCCGACGAATCGGCTCTAGTTTTACTGCTAACCACCGTGCGACTTTATGATACGGTGAGTTGATCACTGATAGGATAGGTCTAAGGGGAACGTCATGTTTGTGAACTTTTGGTAAACCATACATATGAGGTAGACGTGAACCACGTGATCTTAGATCAATGAAAGTAGAATTATCAATCATTTTCTTTTTTAGGAGTTCTCTAAGCATGCCTTTGACTAGTTTTTCTGTTGAATCAGTCAAATCCATTTGGGATTTATCTACCTTGAATCTCAGTTGATCGTTGAGGATTGATTTCATCTTATTGATATAATCAGCTGCATTCATTAGGACGACACCTGAACCTATATCTGGTTTTCACACTTTAGGAATGAACTCTGTAATTTTTTACTAAACAAGAGACTGGTTTCCCCCACTTGACTTCTTCGTTTACTACACGCAATTTTACTAAAGGACGGTATGGGTGACCAGCTTTCCGAAAGAAGATGAGATAATTTATCTTCATAGAAGAGCATCAAATTAAACATTCGAGATTCGTAATGATTATATTCAGGGTTACATCTCTGTTGTTCTGAGTAAAAATAATACATTTTTTTACTGCATTTAGTACAACAAACTTCTGATATCTCTCTACTCCTGAGAGTAAATAACTTTTATAAAAATAACACGTTTACTGTATACACGGAATAAATAAAATAAAATACTTAATACATATAAACAGATTTGATTGTATTAATTTTATATGAAGTTAAGGTTGTTCCTAAATAAGATATGTCTGCATATTTATGTGGATGTGAAAAATTGGATGTTAGCAATATGAATAAGTCATTGAACTTAAGTTCGTGAATAAGGTTTCCAAGTCATGAAATGAAGTTCCATAATATACACATACTCTTAAACATAATCTGCTTGCTAAATCTTCAATCAGAATAACCATCGACTAAGCACTAACATTGCACTGACATTTCCTACCATCAATCTAATTATCACATAGAGAAGTGAAAACCGATTTCATAGTGTTTAGCTTACAATCATGTCCTCTTTCCTATAACATCAAAATTGATTATCATCATCATTATTAGGATTACTATTGAGTTTTGGTAATTGCTAAGAATATTATTTTATATTACGTGATCATAACAATTTAAACATATCTCATATAGTTGATTGCAACATGATCTCAATTTCTCTTATTTCGCTCGTCTATAAATCCAACCCTAGTTATATGCCTACATTCAAAGTATAAGCTAACATAACTTACAAATTCTGTGTTTATACCAGTTAACATAGACCGCAAGGATATGTACCTAAGTTATTTATCAACATTGATTTTTCGCCGTATGCAAAGTTATCCTTCGGCACTGGTTATTAAAAGGCAATGTAAATAAATCAGGCCTTTTATTGTTTAACATGTAACAGATTCAAAACACTCAATCTTAAATTAAACTTTTTAAATCATTTTCAAGATTCAGT